ACACACACACACACACACACACCAGAGGCGAAGCGTCTATATAATCAAATAATCACTGCTTCCCTTCCTAATTTTGAAACATTGTCGCAGTCAAATTCCCCCATAGACGTAAACCTCATAAATTAAATGTAAAGCGACGTTCATGATCACCAATGAACAGTAGACTATGCCTAACCTTCAAAACCGTTTCATTGCCACAGAAATAACTCTTTTGTTCCTTCTTACTGCTGTCTTTCAGCCACACTACTGATTTTCTGGTAGGAAGGATCTACACCTAGTCTTCTAGGACGAAAGCAAAAAATCTCTGAGGTCCCGTGCGCAAAATCCCTTGGTGATCTAAAATCGATAAGAGTAGGCTTTGGCCTCCACCCGGGAAAATTTCAAAATTTCCTACTTACTCAAAATGTTTAATGTGTCCCCCCGCACTCATATGACCTTATGCAGTTGCGAGCGCCGTAAAACACTTTCCTAAATAATAATAATAATAATGAAATATATAAAATAATTATATAGAGCACTTCGCCTGTGGGATGTCGTTTTGCTTCGCCACGACGGCTCAATAACAGCCTAAAGGACAACCCAAAGTGTAGCGTATGCTGTTTACAAACGGTTGCTCTAAACTGCCCTCCCACCAGGCGCGGTTCGTCGATAGAGTACGGTCGCGCAGCGCCGCCCAAAATTTTTTAATGTTCTATTACGTAAAACACCAACAATAATAAAATGAAAGAAGCCAGAAACAAACATTAGCCAAATATTATATCAAAACAAGGTCCTCACTGTCATTTCCGTGTCTATAGCGCCGTAAAACATGCCAAAGTCCACACGATTTAGCTAAAGATAATAGGATATTCAACAGTGTAACCTGACCTATAAATCGCTCTTGAGGATAACCAAGAGATGATGACACTCGTAGCAAGTTTGGCGGTACATTAATATTAATAAGACGGCACATCTCAAATGTGCTCCTGTCGAATAGTGCCGAAACATAGCCCACAGTAAGCAGGCTGAAAATAAACGCGAAAGACCGTAGGCTATTCATTGCCAATATTATGTGAGCCTCGGAGCAATCCAGCGAAGTGCTCAAGTGAATTGTGATTGGTTCATTGTCTGTCTTGCCACTATTTTAAGTGACTCTGTGACTGTGAACTTGAGGGAGGTGAACGTGACCGTCCTATGAGTTGGGCCTTTGAATGGTTTTGTAGTGGAGTAGTGAACGTTTTTATTTGAGTGTTCATTTCCAATACAGGATGAACGAAATTGATGTTTAGGTAACAAACAAACTTAGTACTAGAAATGAAAGCAACAAGTAAAAAGAATGAAAATATAAGCACGAGGTCCTCCCTCACCAACCCAGATCTTAAAAATATACACCGTCTCATTTACTCTGCCCTTGACTATCTCCAGCATGCAATAGCTTAATTGTGCACGTCAACTTTTTAGCCCCACGATCCGCCCCTGCTTCCCACCTACCCCCACCTCTCTCTCGCGCTTCACTCTTGACTTTCTGTGGGTGAATGTCTATCCCCCCTATCTTTATCTTTAAAAGTATAACTATTTCGAGCTCCAAACTCCCCCAAAAACAGCAACCCCCCCTCCCCTAACAACCGTGACCCTGGTTAGCCTGCCAGGCGTCAGAGAGAACAACCGGATGGCTGTTATCAAGTCTGTCGGACCGGGCCTAGAAACGTTAAACCTATGCTAACCAGCGTTATACCGTGAACCTGGTTAACCTGCGAGGTTTTTAAAAAAAAATCCAGGATATATTCTCCGGGCCTGCTCACAGTTCCCACAGTCTAAGCAGGGATTCCAGTCCGATAGCATCTAGTCAAGGTAGGTTCACTTAAGAAGTAAAAATGAATAGATATTTTAAAATGAACATCAGTGTGTAGCCTTTAGCAGTTGATGAAAAATTCTATTGAGGTAACTAGACACGGTAAAATTCTCGTTCTTCTGTTTCATGTTTCTTGGGTTTTTTAAACTCGAAAAGTTGGAAGTGCAGAGAACTTTCAATCGAATATCTCGGTAGTTTTGCTCGGACGTTGTATCCCTCTCAGCCTGGTAGGTAGGGCTGGGCAATGAGTCGCTTTAGCAAAATCCAAATACTATGTTAGTGCACCTCTTCGGCAAATAATAATATGACATGAACCACTCCGACGAACGGGTTAGCACTACTTCAACAAATGGGTGCACCCACTTCAGCAAACAGGTCAGGAAAGAGAGTTAAGAGTCTGGATTCGGATAATGTTTTATTGAGAATTATCCAGTTATCCTTGTAGATTATCCGGATTTTGCCCACCGGCGTCAGAAGCCCGCATCCAAAATGATCTAAATTGTCTCGACGGAAGCGTAACACAGCTACAGTTACAATTACGATTAGCTACAGTTACAATTACGATTAGAGACCTCGATGAACCTATTGCCTAGAAAGATCTTTCAATTTCAGTCACGGTGTCAAGCTCACACAGTTAGCTGTGTCCATCTCGGTGGAGTTTGTATCTCTTTTGTTTGCTTTGGCCGTCAACTTGCAGCATTCCCACAGAATTCCTCAGTTCCATCTCTCATCCAACTGTTGGCATCATCATGTCGAGTGCAGATATTATGATACATAATGTCTAGTTCTGTTGGAATGTGCCTTTCTGTTCTTTATTCTCATTAACTCTCTTTAACATCTTTCAAAATCATTTCACAGCAGACGTGCAAGAACTGAACCACTTCCCAGTACCGTGCCTCATCCAACTGTTAGCGCATATGGCTTACGTCACAGCTCACCAATGACACTTTTTAGTTGCAAAACCTTTTTTAATTTTATAGTGAACACTTTTTTTGCCCCAAAAATTCTCAAAACATGCGTTCAATAAAGATAATCTCGCGTTTACAAAAAATGACCGACATTCTCTTTAAAAAGCGATATTGTCTTAGCTGTAAACCTTTTAAAACCAGAAGAAACCACCTACTGGGATTTTTTATTTGTATTTATTAAGGAAGTTTTTAGAATACAGCTAACACGTGTTTATAAAAATATTGATATTTTAAGACAAATTGATACAAGTCCCTTTGAAAAAGCTGCAGAGTTTATGGACGATAGTTGAGGAAATCTTTGACGATAAGTTGCTTCACGAATATTTGATCGCACTATAGTTGTGTTGGAACGTGCCCTTCTGTTCTTTATTTACATTTCTCTTCAACGTCTATTTAAATCTTTTTACAACAGACGACCAAGAACCGAACCACTCCCGAGTACCATCACTCATTCAACAGTATACCTTGCCATGAGGAGTTTAGATATTATGATACAAAAATGTGTCTGTTTGTGTTGGAACGTGCCATTCTTTTCCTAAATTGCATTAATTCTCATTGACGAATTCAAAATTTTTTCACAGCAGACGTCGAAGAACCGAAGCACTCCCCAGTACCGACCCTCATCCAACAGTATACCTCATCATGTCGGTACCCAAGATCTACTACTTTGGCGTCGTGGGCCGGCCGGAGATAACCAAACTTGTGTTAACTGCTGCGGGGAAACCGTTTGAAGATATCCAATTTTCCAACGAGGAATGGGCAAAGACGTACAAACAAAGTTAGTGACTGACATTTTGCATTTTCCTTTTTAAATAATGATAACAGAATCTATCATTCATTAATGATAATAGTACTTTTATAATGATAAGGACTTTTTATACAAAGTAGCGATTAAACTTACTATCATTATCATTATTATTATTATAATTATTATTTTTATTATTATTATTACAATAAATCATGACGGCACGCATATTCGCACTGTTGCACTGTGAGGAGTTGTCACAATACATTGCTTTCGGCGTTACATCACAGGCAAAAAGGAAAATAAAGATGGACCCAATCCGATTCTGAGTTATGCAATTGGAGGAAAAGGCACAGAATAATAATGGTTTTTTTTAAATGTCTATCATTGTAAGGTACACGACTACTAATAGTTTAAATTGCACTTCGTTTTCAGAATTGTTAAAAGTCTGTTTCCGTGCCTTGAGGTTCACAAAGTTTGGAGTCAGCTCCAGTAGTATGATTATAAGGATCATGGTTATAGAAGTTCGTCTTATAGTGTTGTAAAGTTACCTGGCGTCTGATGAGTTGGGTATGTCAGTGGAGGGGGGGGGGGGGGTTAACGCAGACAGACGAAAGTGAACAAGCTCTTGTTAATCCGTTGACGAATGAAAGCTGGTGGGACACAATCAGGCGAACATTGAAGGGGTTAGGCTGGTTCGAGAAAGAGGTTGAATCATGTTTTGCTAAAATTAGAGTTCGACATATCATTGGACAGTTGAAGCGGGCGGCCATCTAATACATTGTATAAAAGTGAAGTTGTTCTAAGCAGACACCGTATAAATTGCTATAATATTTCTAATTCTAAAACAAAATCAAAGCTAA